TAATCACCCTTCTCCTCTAACCCTATTTTATTAATCTCTAAAAAATTGATGATGACAAGTATACCCTTAAGTGGGCAGCAGCTTGGCAGTTACATAAAGAAAATAAAATAAGAACAAATAACAGGCCCATCAACATAAAATAAAAGATAAAATAAAGGATATCACACGAAAGGCTGTTAGGGCCCATTCGGCCCAATCTCTTTACAGTTTCCAAAACTTGGAGGTGCAAAGGGACTCTCAGGTGGTCATTTCTTGGACAAGATGTTGCTCCCAAATCCCATGGATCTATAGACATACATTTCAGAAAATGGTAAACTTAGCAAGGGAGGTAAATGTTGCCTTTAAATGGATGGGAAGATCAGCAAATGGGATGGCAGATATTTTGACTAAGCAAGGGACAGCTACGCACCAAATGTTTTGGAAAAAATTATAAATTGTCCTTTGAGTGGAGAAAGTTCCCACCTTATTGTAATACTTGAGTGTAAATTTAATAAAATCTCATCTTACTGACCAAAAAAATCAGTATAAACAGTATAAGTGAAGAACATCTTCTATTATTTAGTAAATATAAGGTTCTACAATGTTTATCAAATCGACAAATTTCACATTGTAGACTCAACAAATAGATACATTAAACTCTAGAAATAAACATTTGAAAGACCCATACTTGAATCTGCATTTCAGGGACAGAGTCGACAGACAGTGAAAAAAACCAATTAGTTTTCTTGATTATTGTTATAGGGCTCATTATAAGCTTGTTTTGAACCACTTGGATGACAAGGAGCATAACAGTATAGGTGCAATGGGTTCAGAGATCAGCTAACTCTATGGCTGATACTTTACCTAAGCAAGGAGTTATGAGAGACCATTTGTTTTGGGCAAAGTTATAATGGGGAGAGATTAAAGCCTCTATGAAAACAAAATGTAAATTTATACATAAAGATTTTCTGATTAAAGAAATCCCTGTTAATTATCCAAAAAAACCAGCTCGCTCTAAGCTGGTTCTTTGTACTCTCTTTTTTTCTTTCATTAGCAAAGTTTCCCTTTATCCATTATCAAACAAAAGAAGAAGACAAAAAAGCAGCAACCCAGATATAATAATCAAAATTTAATCACCTCTTCAGAAGATGTTGGTTCCAAATAACCTGTGGGAGCCTCACTAAGGGGTGGTTGCTTAAGGATTGGTTTCGCCCGCTCACTAGATCTTTCTTCTGTAACAGATGCACCTGAAAACCACCTCCCAAATGGCAGTTGAAAAGAAGATTGATTTTCGTATATTGTGCCACCAATATGTACATGCTGAACTCTTCTTCTTCTTTTGTGTCTAGAACTTTTTATTTTCTTGTCTGCAACCCAAAGCTGAACTAGAAAATCTCTACTTATGCAAGGATCATTTTGTACTGTTGATCCAAACCAACGAGATATTGTCAAGGGAGTGTGTTTTGCACTAATTAAACTTCCTTTGCAGGAAAAGGATTGTTGGAATCTCCCTAATGCATTATTTCCCATGACCAATCTACCATGAAGGCTTGCTGCTTCAGTTCCCAAGATAATCTGCTGCAACAATGTTTGAGAACAATATCCTCTCCGAGGTTGCAAGCATATGTTGTCTACAATCATTTTGGCATTAGAAATGCCATGTTTACACTTATTTGCTGCATGATGCATTGATGCATCCAATTCAGAAATCTTTCCAGCTGATTTACAATATTTGCTAATGCAATAAAGATCTTTTATCCACCTCATTTTATTAATCTGCTATCATATGGAAGCACCTGTTCAAAACAAAAATGACCATAACAATGTTTTCAAATGTTCAGTAACTGGTGGAAACTAAACATGCCTAATGCTGTTTCAAATTTGTCAAAGCAACATAAAACATGAAAACAGAGGATAAGGAGCTGGACAATAAATAGGAAAAAAAGACAACTATTGCAACAGAAATGATTTGACATTCTTGGTCCACAAGATCTTGATTAAAGAAAGGCCTCCATCAACAAAGTTTCAAGCATTTTTTCTCATGTATCCAGTTTTAAATAAACCGGTGTTGCGAGTATATATGGTTAAGTGGTAGTTTCAATCTTTTCTTAGTAAGGGTACTTTAGTATTTCTGTATTTCTGTGTGGCGGCAGTTGAGCTACTATTACTCTTCCCTCCTCTTCTGCTCTCTAATAGCAATCTACTAGATTACTACTTGGTATCAAATCCTATTTACCTCTAGAGCTAAGTGTTTCCATTTCTTTCTGCTCCTTAGAGTATTCAGATTGTAATGTGTATGTGCAGTCGTTTATGAGTAATGGAGTTACTTGAGGAAGAAAATTTGTATTCAGCAACCTTAATGTAACAACGGCCCCATTGGGGTCTTTATTGTAAATTTAGATAATTCTAATAGTAACAAAAAGAATCATGGGTGAGTGGTCGTGTAGCCTTAACTTTTTCTCTCCTCTCACCTTATTCACAATAAATGATATATAAACAAGAACCAGTGATGATGAAGATATTGATGATGGTATCTTCAGAACTTTTAGTTTTTTTGGCTTTCTTCTGTTCCAGTTCTCGCTTTTTGTCATTATCAATTCTTTCATTAAAATTGTCTATTTGGCATTTTAGGTTTCTTTCCATAGTTAGCTGTATTGCTGTCAATGAGTCAGTCTCAGTCAGAGTAGACCCAGACCCAATCCAAATATCCAATAAGTAAATCTGCAAAACCAGTTCTGAAATTGGGACTATCGGGTCTAATCTGATAAGATTCAATATTGCTTACAGCTATACTTTTAACACATCATTTGACAATAAACATACTTGTTTATTGAACCTACGCATTTGGGCATTACAACATGTAAGTATATCATGAAAAAATTAAATTCAAACCTTAACCAAATTGAAAACCTTGGGAACTACAGATATGTATAATGCAATTTAACAAAAAAAAATACAGAAGACAGAAAAAATAATAAAGTGATTTATCAGAACAACATGACCAGACAAACCGCTCCTGCATTTAAAAAAAAAAATAACATGTAATCAAGTATGCAGAATGCAAATCAAATTGTGAAGAAAACAATACGAACAGAATACAATTTAGTAAAACAATTTGATAAAGTGATAAGTACTACATGATCAATGACTTAGCCAATGCATATCAATGAATGACTTCGTAGAAAGTAGCTAAAACTCAAAGAATCAATACCTAATAATTGTCGACGAGTCATGCAAAACACAAATCCTCAAGATTGACAATAGATATACGAAGAGGAATCTAGTTAACCAGATTGAACATTCAAAAAAAAAAAACTAGTATGCATCCTACGTAAAGAAAAAGGGGTGGGGGAAACGGTCCAAAGATTCAAGAAACGTGATGTTGAACCTAAAAAAAATCAAACCCTTGACTATCTAAGAAAGCAGAAGCATATAATTTTCTCTCCAAGTTTTAATAGAAATTAGTTGAACCATCATGCAAATGAAATGACCAGGAAAATGTTGTTCGAGGATAAAAACAAAGGGAACGACCAACCGTACCTGAATGCAATATAGGAAATACAGAGCATGAAGTCAGTTTCTGGTGATGTCGAACAGGGAGTGAAGGGATAGAAAACAAAATGATCACTTGAGAGTGGAGAAACCAATACAGCAGTGGAAGGGAAAATGTTTCTTCTTTCACTCGGCACGGATTTTCAGATTTTTTTTCCTTTTCCTTTTCCTTTTTTTGGCTTCATGGGGCTGGACATTTTAGGGGTGATCATTTTCATCCCGACCCGGAAATTTCGGGCTTGCATCAGGCCGATAAATTTCGGCGCCAGGCCTGAGCCCAATCCTCGACCCACAATATATTTTAATATATTGTATAATACAATAAATATATATTATTATAAGATAGATTTTAATGCAGGATATAAAAATAAATAAATTTGATTTATTCATGTCAAATTTGTACTTTACCATTGCCCTTACATTATATATTTAATATATTTATATTATAAACATTATGTTATATTTCTAATTCAACATGTAATATACATATTCATGAATTGACACATGAATCAACTCGTGACCAAGGATGGTATTTTAACATGTTCAATGACGGTTTTGCAAATTTTAGACTCCCCTTGCCTCCCAAAACTTCAACGTTTATTCTCTTTAGAAGATGCAAGACTTTCCCCAATCCTACATACCCTTCCCGCATTTGAGGGTGGGGCATATTGGGTATAGAACTTGTATTTATTGTTGTTGCTTATTATATATAAATAGCATATGAGTGAAATTGCATGAAAACATCCAAATTTCCAATTATTTAATTAAAACGTGTAGAAAAGCAAACTATCAATTATCATTAGTTATAACAACAATTATTACTAAACTAAAATTCAATGCATTATTAAATTCAATAATTAATACATAAATTCATAAACCTTGCAACAACAATCTAATTTTAATCATTGTGGGTATTTTAGTAAATTCAATACCCGTCCTTGGTGGGACCGGAAAAACTGGGAACCGATCAGGTGATTGATTCCATTTTTTCTCAAAACCAGGATTTCTCAAAAAACCATTGATTTTGGTCAGCAAACTGTTGACCCGAGCGGTTAATCGTTCGAACGGTTTTAATCATTTTTTATTTTTTAAAATTTTTTTTATTTTTATTTTTTGTCTGAACAAGCTGATCATTCGGTTCGAATGATCGAACCGTTCGACCCAATAATCGGACCCCTGACCAATTTGGTCTCCAGGTCGGTTCTAAAAACCATGCCTACTAGTAAGGTAAAAATTGTCATCACAAATAATTATGTGTATTTTGGTTTGAAGAATATAGATGAATATAAAGGTATTATGGTAAGAGACCAACCATAATACTATAAGTGAACAGCATCTAAAAGATAATAATCAAACAACTGGTATAATAAAAGTGGTAATCAATATGGCTGCAACTAGGTTGGGTCAGGTTAGGGTTAGGATTAACTTTTGTCAACTCGATTTTGGGTTCAATTAGGGTTGACCGCTCCGGCAACCAAACTCTACTATTGCTATTGTACACATGCATTATAGTATTGCTACATACCATCATACCAATTTCTCTTAATTCTTGAGCCCTTTTTATAATTTTATCTTTTATTATTGTTGATTTCAACATCATGATTTTCAATAGGAGACGTATCATCATATTCATTATATATAGTAGAATCTAATCATTTAAACATTCATTTTTTTTTTCAATTGTGTAGTCAAAGATTAATGAAAGCATCAAGCAAGCAAATGCCAATGAAAGCGTGGTCGATATATGGCCAAGAATGTTCAATTTATACATCTTAATCAAAGATTAATAGTGTGTGGAGGGTAAGGCAATGGGAGTATAGTATTATTGGAGGACGAAGGATGGCTTTCCAAGAAGGAAAAAAGGGGAAGGTGTGCAAAGGTAATAACGAGTAGGAGGTGATGAAGGTTGTAGCAAAGTGGGGGATTTGGTCTTGGAAAGATGTGTGTTTTTTGGGGAGTTTGGTCTTCACCTTATTTATAGGCATAAAGTTCCTATTTGAATGAGAAGGTGACATGATAAGGGAGGAGATTTTCCTTCTGGGCCCACATCAGGCCCGCAAATTTTAGGGTCAGGCTTGTGCTTAATACTTCAAGCCCGACCTAGGCCCAGTCCAACCCATATATATTTAAACTTACACATTTTGAGTATAATATATACATATATATACAAGTTATTTTACATTATATTATATATTTTATATATAAATATTATAGCATGACATGTATAATTTATATTATATGTAATATTTTATATTATATAATGTATAATATAAGTTTGTATGCATGTTATGTCATTTAATATAAAATATTATAAATATGTAATGTTTTATATATATGAAAGACATTGGCCCAAAATCAGGCCTGGCCTGGTCTGGTCCCATGTAGACTTGGGCTAGGGCTTATGTTTCAGGCCCAAAACCCCAGGCCAGGTCGGGCCCGGGCCTAAGCTATAGCCCTTATCATAAGTGTAAAGCCCGACGTGGCCCATGATCACCCCTATCCAGAGGCTTATGCCTCATTTACCAAGGTTTGGTCGTGAGCACGAACTCGGCTACAACTATGCTCTTAGGAGCCCTTTGTTACTTAGTCATAACCAAAGTGGAATCACCTATGCTTGTAGTCGCATCTGTTCTGAGTGTGAATGTTGTGTTAGTGCAATGCTATGGCAAGGGTGGCTATCGCACTATTATGAATACAAAGTGCCCAGGTCCATCTGTTCTGAGTGTGAATGTTGGGTGATGCACTATAAGCATTTGTCTCAGTGTCTTCAAGGTCTATGTCCATGGACTTACAAAAAAACTTAAGAGGTATTGTTAGATTTTAAGAGGACTAGAGAAGGTCGGGATGGGCCCAACGCAACTTGAACTTTAGGTTGGGGTTGAAGGATTTAGGTTGGGTTAGGATTAGGGTTGACTAAGTCTGATTGGGGATTTAAAACCTTGGGTTGAGCTAGGGTTGACCTCAACTTGACTTATATGGCCTAACTTGCTCATCGTAAAGCAATCATCCACTATTCATCAGAATTAATTAAGGGTTTGATTGGTCAAAATTCTTCTAATATCGTACCTTATTGGCATCATATATTGTTTGCAATCACCTGGATATTGTTCAATTGGTCAAAATTCTTCTATTATAATAATCACCTAGATATTGTTTATATGGTGTGTTTGAAAAATAAATCCAAGGTTATATTTGATTTGAAGTAAAAAGGTAGGGGAAAAGGGAGAAATGTTAGAAAACCTGTCCAAGGGTCGGGATAATTTTAAGAGAATCTATGAAAATGATGGGAAATTTCAAATAAGAGCCCATTGTAGATGGGCATCAAGAAGTTTCTTCCCACAACAAGGAACTTTGTCCCCAAGATTCTAGTCTAACCATCTTTACTATTTGAATATGAAACCAATGATTGAAGAAGAAGAAGAAGAAGAAGAAGAAGAAGAAGAAGAAGAAGAAGAAAAAGAAGAAGAAGAAGAAACAAATCCAACCAATCAAAGCCTCCCTAAATGAAAAAGTATATAAACACACATAATTCTATGATATCTAAAGAGAAAGAGCAAGATCTCAAAGAACCTGATGTTTGCATAAATGAATGCATTCAATGGTGGAAAAAGTGTCATCTCCACCTCATCAATGCATGTGATAAGTTGATAATTAACGTAAAACCAATGCATTCATTCGGTGGTGGAAGATCTCGCATGGCGGAAGTTCAAACACACTAAGTTTTTAATTGAGAAGGAGAAGAGTTTGCAATGAATTTGCAATCAGTCGAACCTTGCTTCTTTTGTTGGGTTAGGGAAAATCCCAATTAGTACCCTATAATTTGGGTCTAGTGCCACTCTGGTCCCTGATCTTTAAAACAAAACAATTCAGTACCCTAACTTTCAAAATGTACAAATCTAGTATCTACCAATAACCAGCCGTTAAGTGGCATTTGAAAAGGCATAAATACCCTTTGAGTGTCATCTAATTTTCTTTATTAACCATCCAAACGTTGATAATAAAATGAACAATCCCAAATCCTTTTCTCTTTTATTCAAGAAAGTTTGGGTCACGTCTCAATGGCATTTTGGTAACCACAACTTTCTCAAATAGGAGAGGCAAGGATTTGGGAYTATTCATTTTTTGTCAATGCTTGGATGGTTGATAAAGAAAATTAGATGACACTCAAAGGACATTTGTGTCTTTTCAAATGCCACTTAACGACTAAAAGAGGCAAGGATTTGGGACTATTCATTTTTTGTCAATGCTTGGATGGTTGATAAAGAAAATTAGATGACACTCAAAGGACATTTGTGTCTTTTCAAATGCCACTTAACGACTAGTTAAAAGTTGGATAACAATAGGTACTAAAATGGCACGTTTGAAAGTTTAGGTACTGAATTGTCATGTTTTAAAATTTGGGGACCAAAGTGGCACTAAACCCAAAGTACATGGTACTAATTGGGAATTTTCCCTTTGGGTTATTTACAAAAGGGCAAATTTCTTAAACTACATTTATGGTTTATGTGATTGACTAACTCTATCCTTACTGTTTACATATTGTCTTACAGTATCCTCAATTTTTTGACAATTGTCTAAAACTTCCCTTGTCGTTAACTTTCTGTCACACTTCGTTCACATGTGACATCACGTGGCTAATATATTTCTTAAAATTCCTAAAATACCCTTTTATGGTTCCACTACATTCTTCGTCTCCGATTCCGACTCCATCTTTGTCCCTTTCTCTGATTCTGACTCCGTCTTCATCATTGTCTCTGATTCCGTATCCAACTCCGTCTCCGATTTTGACTCTATTTCCAACGTCGTTAAATGATAATTCCAACTCCATTTCCAATTATGTTAAATGATGATAGTGCCCTTCTTCACCATCTTCATCATCAACAACTCACCTAATACCCTAGATAACCACCGTCGAGTGGTTCCAACTTTGTTAAATGACGATTGCAACTCCATTTCCGATTCCGTTAAATGATGATATTGCCCTTCTTCACCATCTTCATCATCAACATCTCACCTAATACCCCAGATAACCACCATTGAGCGAATCAAAGGGATTAAGGAAGTCCTAAGTGGAGACATCTGATGGTGGTGGAGGCTTAAGAGGAGCAACTAGAGAAATCTGTGGCCGACAATAGTAAGGATCATAAGGCGGATTTATTGAAAAGCCATAGAATCCACCCCTAATATGATATTGAGGAAGCCAAGAGTAAGAGGAGTAGGACAGATCAGACCATTGAGTTGTTGCG